GGCGCTGGGTGTCGGGGGGTGGGGTGGGGCCAGCAGGGGGCGCTGGGCTGCAGGAGCGGGGCGGGAGGCAGCAGGGGGCGCTGGGGTGCGGGGTGGGGGGCCCAGCAGGGGGCTGGGCTGCGGGAGGTGGGATGGGGCCAGCAGGGGGCGCTGGGGTGCAGAAGGTGGGGCAGGAAGCCCAGAGCTGGGGGGCAGGGGCAGAAGGGGTAGGGGACCTACCCATTCCCCCCCCATCCTTCCCCCACATCTCTCCACCCCCCACCCCCCGTCTCTATCATTACACACAAACAGGTGATCAATGGGCGGGGGAGCAGATGTGACCCCCCACACACCCTTTCCAGCTGCTCCCCCCTCCCCCCCGGACACGGGGCAGCATGTGATTATCGTCTCATTGTGTCGTTTACGTCACTACCTGGGAGGAAGAAAATTAAACATGGTCTAATCCCCCCCTCCCCGGCGGCTGTTGGCTTGACCCCCCACCCACCCGGTCACCCTCCCCCCCCCCCCCCCCAAAGTGGGCGGGTTCACATATGGGATCATTGTAAGCCCCAACGCGGTGCTAGGGGGCGCTCTCCCCAGAGAGTTGTCACCGTATACCCAGCCCCCATGCCCCACCCCAGAGCCAGCCGCATCTCAGCGCTGGGCGAGGGGTCCCCGGATACCCAGCACCCGCGCCCCACCCCAGAGCCAGCCGCATCCCAGCGCCCGGCGAGGGGTCCCTATATACCCAGCCCCCATGCTCCACCCCAGAGCCAGCTGCATCTCGGTGCTGGAGGGGGACCCTGTTGGGGGGTCGTACTGAGGTTCTGTCCCCTCGTCTCTAGGGGTCATTCTGGGCGCCGTATTTGGGAGCCTCCTGCGGCTGCTCCCCCCGCTGGACGAAGACCTGCTGGTCCTTATCTCCTTCCCGGGAGACATCCTCATGCGGATGCTGAAAATGCTCATCTTGCCCTTGGTCATCTCCAGCCTCATCTCAGGTGAGGGCGGGGGGACGGGGACAGCGGCTGGAGCCAAAAGCTGAATCTCGTTCCCCCACTGCGGGATTCGAACTCGCGGCGCTCGGGAGCAGCACAGGGCTGTGGTACCCAGCCTAGCCACCAGGGGGAGAGGGGGTGGACCGACCACCCACAGGGTGCGGTGCTGCATGGAGCAGGGCGAGGGACTCATTATGGGGCATTGTCCCCGTATACCCAGCCCCCGCGCCACCCCCAGAGTCAGCCGCCTCCTAGCGCCGGACGAGGGGTCCCCGTATACCCAGCCCCCCCGCCCCACCCCAGAGCCGGCCGCATCCCAGCGCCGGGCGAGGAGTCCCCCTATACCCAGCCCCCGTGCCCCACCCCAGAGCCAGCCGCATCCCAGTGCCGGGCGAGGGGTCCCCCTATACCCAGCCCCCGTGCCCCACCCCAGAGCAAGCCGCATCCCAGTGCCGGGCGAGGGGTCCCCCTATACCCAGCCCCCCCGCCCCACCCCAGAGTCAGCCGCCTCCCAGCGCCGGGCGAGGGGTCCCCGTGTAGCTTTCGCTCTGTTCCTGGGCAGGGCTGGCAGGACTGGATGCCAAGTCGAGTGGGCACATGGGCACCCGGGCCATGGTGTATTACATGTCCACCACGGTGCTGGCTGCCGTGCTGGGCGTGATCCTGGTGCTGTCCATCCACCCGGGCAACCCCAAGCTGAAGACGGCGACGGGCGCGGCGGAGCGGAGCGAGGAGGTCTCCAGCCTGGACGCCTTCCTGGATTTAATCCGGAACCTCTTCCCCGAGAACCTGGTGCAGGCCTGTTTCCAACAGGTAGGGGGCGCTCGCCCCGGCAGGCAGTGCCCCCAGGCAGCACTAGGGGGCACTGGGCTGCAGGGTGTGGGGCGGGGGGGCTCAGCAGGGGGCGCTCGCCCCAGGCAGGCAATGCCCCAG